AAAACAATAACTGAGAAAATGACATGAAGGCTGTGTTGACCAGTTTGATGGAAGTGTTTCGGATTGTGTGTGAAAATCCCACACTGTACCCCAGAAGTGCATTAATGTACATAGTTACCATTCAATAAAAAAAAAAAGAAGAAGAAGAAAGGGCAAAGAAATGTGGGTTCATGAGAAGTCCTAACTCCAAGTGGGATCCAGGATGGCCTTGCCTAAGCAGGGTGGCAGAGGTGAGGGTAGGTTAGAATGGCATATGGCAGGGGGAGGGAGTCCAGGCCCAGGTACCTGCATTGGCCTTGAGGTCCTCAGGGGTCACCATGACCACAAACCGGATGGCCCGCTCATTGCGGAACATCTCATAGGCCCACCTGCGGATGGAACGCATGCACTTCACGGCAGCAATACCATTGTTGGCAATAAGCACCTGCACGGGGAGAAAGAGGAAGGCGCTGGAGAGGCACCTGTGCTGGGGGCTGCGTGCTGCCCTGAGCCCACCTCAGCTGCAGAGACTCCTGCAGGGCCCACAGCATGTCATTCCTCTTTGAATTGCTATAGCACACAGCCTGCCACAGGGCAGGTGCACAGTCTGCCAGCTGCATGAATGCATGGATAAATGAGTGAATGGATGAGTGGATGGATGGACGGATGAGTGATTTCTGATTACTTTGTTATGATCACCCTTAACATTTTGGGAGTATTTGGAATGCACCAAGCTACATAACTGCCTTACTTCATTTCACCCTCCTAAAGTCCTTTGAAAGAGATTTTAAAAACTCAGAGGAGTTAAGGTACCTGCCCCAGGTCACACGGATAGTATAAGTGGCACAGTAAGGATGCAAACCTTGTGGTGTGACTTACACTCTAAACTACCTCCTACATACACCATGGCTGCTTCTGCATTCTACAGGTTAAAGGTCCCAGATTTGTTAAGGAGGAAGAGCGTGATACTAGTGGCCCCCAACAGCAGAGAGTAATAGAAAATGTCCTGGTTTAATTTCCAGTTATGAACTTGCTGTGTGGCCTCAGCCAGATCCCTCCCCACTCTGAGCTTCACATCTATCCAAAGAGGTCAGACTGGACAATCTCCTGGCCTGGTCTCTAAAAAATCAAACTAAGCTCTTGGTGGGCACAGTGGCTCCTGCCTGTAATCCTAGCACTCTGGAAGGCTGAGGCAGGAAGATTGTTTGAACTTGAGAGTTTGAGAACAGCCTGAGCAAGAGTGAGATTCTGTCTCCACTAAAAATAGAAAAACTAACCAGGCATGGTGGCAGGCACCTATAGTCCCAGCTACTCAGGAGGCTGAGGCAAGAGGATCACTTGAGCCCAGGAGACTGAGGTTGCTGTAATCTACAGTAACACCGTGGCATGCTAGCCTGGAGCAACAGAATGAGACTCTGTCTCAAAACACCCAAAAAACAAAACAAAACAAAGTTTTCATTTTCTTATTTATATATATATATATGTAATTTTCTTATTTATATATATATCTCCAGCCTGGGAAATGTAGCCAAAAAAAATAGGCATATGGTTTCACAGCTCACCTGACATAACAATTTCATCACTGTAAGACTCCCTCCATTGCTGTCTCATCTTCATGACAGCCTAATTGAGGGACAAGTCTTGGTGATTCGAGCTATGTTGGCCTCTATTTTATAGTAAGAGAAACTCAGGCCAGATCTCACATCCCATGAGTGGCCATACCGGGATTTGACTCCAGGGTTTCCGGCTCCAGTGAAATGCTCTTCCCTCTTGGGAAAAGATGAGGAAATGTCTAGGCTTTGGTTTTCTCAATCTATTACCAAAGCAGGGCTTAGTCAAGAGAGGACATAATGACCCCAGGGTGGCCCAGTTTCTCTTGGCCCCATTTGTTAATGGTACAACAAATATTGTGGGAGCCCCGGGGGAGACAGTTGCAGCAGGCCAGCTCGCCGTTCTAGTCCCCAGGACCGTGGCTTCCCCCATGAGCAGTCTGGAAGAAAGGGCAAGCCAAGGTCAACTCCTAAGCCAGAAAGTGGAAGCTCCAGGCTGAGCTTGGACCCTGGGCTCCTGAGAACTCAATGTCAGATACCAGCTGGGTTGGCTGCTAAACAGCCTCCTGGCAAATGGCCGAAATGTAGCTGCTAGGTCCTTACCCAGGGGATCTAAATCCGAGGATCTGAGTAGGATGGAGGATTTGTATTTTTAACCAGCAAGAGTGGTGACTGCAGAACTGGGAACCTGGTGAGTCTTGCACAACACTATACCTTACAACACTGGCTACAGGCTCTGGATTATAATTCCTGACATTGAAATCCCCGCTCCACCACCAGGCAAACAACCCCCGCCCGGAGCCTCACTTTCCCCACTATCGGAACTGTAGATATGGGAAATGAGATACGATGATGCAGAGCCTGTATAGGATGCCTGCAATCAATGGGAGTGGCTGCGACCACACTGTGGGCCTTGCTGTTATTATTAATTACCACCCCCCTCAAGTAAAATGGAGAAGAAAAGGCCTTCCAGCCAAACTGACCAGGATTCAAATCCCAGCTCCACCACTTACTAATTATGTGAGCTTGAACAACTCAAGTCACGTCTCTGAATACTAGTTTCTCCATGAGTGTGATGGAAATGATCACAGACCTATTACACCTGACCCAGGGCCTTAACCAGATGAAAAGAAGATAATGGGAAAAGCCTCAATAAATGGCAAATCTTGGGCTGGGCCGTGGCTCACAGCTATAATCCCAGCACTCTGGAAGGCCAAGGTGGGTGGATTACTTGAGCTGAGGAGTTGGGAGACCAGCCTGAGCAAGAGCAAGAGCAAGACCCTGTCTCCACTAAAATTAGAAAAATTAGCCACGCATTGTGGCAGGTGCCTATAGTCCCAGCTACTGGGGAGAACTGAGGCAGGAGGATCACTTAAGCACAAGAGTTTGAAGTCGTTGTGAGCTACGACTCTACAGAGGGCAACAAAGTGAGATTCTGTCTCAAAAAAAAAAAAAAAAAAAAAGCAAATCTTAGCTATGTCCTTTTTGTTGATGTCATTCCAGCACGAGAGTCTCCTCTTCTCTAGGAAGCCTGGGCAGGGCAGGGGTGGGTTTTATGCTTCCTGCTGCACAGCCTGGGCCTCTTTCCGAATAGCATCTGGGATCTTCTGCAGGAGCCTCCTGCCCACATGCAGAGGCCTCAGCCTCCCTCCCGGTGAAGGGGAAACTCACTGTTTGCATTTGGCTAAATGTCAAGCAGCCAGCACTAAGCAAGTGACACAAGAGAGTAGTCCTTGTCCCCTCTCTGCAGCATAAGGGACAATCCTGATGCTGGTTTTCCCACCTCCAGCTGGGGGAGAAGGGCTCTTTCCACCCCAACCTGGCCCCACCCAGAGTGCAGGGACCCCAGTTATACCTTCTCGATGACCCGATCCCCTCCAAAGCGTGTGACAAACTCAGCTGGGGAAGCCACAGTGAAGTCTCTGTGTAGATCCAGCTTCTTGTGTTCCCGTCCCCTCTTCACTAGGTGGAGTCCAGACATGCTTGGCCTACAGAGGGACAGAAAGACAGACAGACCTGCATGAGGGAGGGAGCCTGGGGAACCTCCAGGAGGAGTCAGAGCTCAACACCTCAAAATCAATGTCCACAGGGGCTGAGGTGCACTGGACCTCCTCTTCTCCGCACTTACTCTCCAGAGACAAAGAAGCAATTCCCAAGGAGGTTCGGGTGCAGGAGACACTGTCTCAAGCAGCCAGTGTGTGCACTTGACCCAAGGTATATGTGGAATCTTTCAATCTTAAATTATTTTTTACTTTGCATGGCATAATTTAGGAACTCAAAGTTATATTATTAATAAAAAACTTACAACAGGAATAGGAGTTTTATAATCAGGGACGAAGCCCACACATTCTAACTGTCTAACTCTAGGCTTGTTAAACAGTATTTATATCTTTTGTGTACATTTCTGTATTTGCACTTCAAAACTTTTTAGAAAACTGAAAACCGGCCTGGCGTGGTGAGAGGAGCAGAAAGATCACTTGAACTCGAGTTTAAGACCAACTCAAGAGTAAGACCCATCTCTACCAAAAATAGGAAATAAAAATAGAAAAATTAGCCAAGTGTTGTGGTAGGTGCCTGTAGTCTCAGCTACTCGGGAGGCTGAGGCAGGAGATTGAGGTTGCTGTGAGCTACACTGAGGCCAGAACACTCCAGCCTAGGGCAATAGAATGAAGATGGTCTCAAAAAAAAAAAGGAGAGAGGAAAAAAAAAAAGAAAGAAAACTGAAAACAATTTTTAAAAGGCAGAACAACAAAATAGAGGTTCTGAGCGCTGCCCCTCCCCACCCTCACACCAGAGGAAATCACTGTTGACTTTTTTCTGGCAATTACACATCTCCATACTTCTTGGAGAGCTATCTTGTGAGTCAGCCACTCGGGAAGAGATTCAGCTCTCTCTACCTGTATCCCTCTGTTCCCCACCCAATATAAAGGTCTATGAGAATTTGGCAAATTCAGTACTTGGTGTTTTATTCATCTGTCATTATTCACAGGTGAACCGCTGTGGTGTGTCAGATTTTATTTCCTTTCTTTTTGTTTTTTTCCTAGACCTACTGATTTTTTTCCCTTCTCTCAGTGCTCCCCATCCCAGCTGCTAATTTACCCCTCTTTCCCTAATAGACTCTCAGGACGTGTAAGACAATTGATGGGTCCCATTTACTTTTCCCTTGGTGGCTTCCTTCCTGGAGGCCAACTGTCCTTTTGTCTAGACTGCTCTCACCTTTTGTCATTCCTCGGGCCAGATCCCTGATTTGGGGGATTGGCTGTCTCCCTCTTTCTCCGTGGACTCCCTTGTTTTGCTGGGACTTATCATCCAGGGAGTTTGATGCCAAGATGGTACATTGGCAGAACATGTGACAGTGACACCCTCAACCTGCCTGCCCTGATCCTGGCTGCTCTGGGCTTTGCATGACCATCACCCTGGAGATTCTTACCTTCTGTGCATTGTTCTTATTTGGCTCAACCTCTGGTTTTAGTGGAAGACATCCTCAAGTCGCTTTCTCGGAAGGGGTACTTAGGGAATATACACTTTTCGGCCTTGCATGTTCTGAAACTATCTTTTTTCTGCCCTCACCTTTGACCCTATCATTTGGCTGTGCAGGCAATTCTAGGAAGGAACACCTTCAGGATTTTGGAAGCCTCCCACCACTGCATCACAGCTTCCAAGTTTGCTAGAACAAGAGCAATTCAGACCCTTGATCCTCTGTAGGTGGCCTGTTTTTTCATACAGTGATGGGCCGAGATATGTGTGTGCTTTCAGCCATGAGGCTGCACATCTCCCAGGCCCTCTGAGTCTAGAAACTCAAGTCCTAGGAATTTGTCTTTAAAGACTGCCTTCATGACTTCCTCCTCCTCTCTTCACTCTTTTCAGAAGTCCTGTTGTTCGGATGCTGAAATTCCTATACTTGCCCACGAGTTTGCATATTTCCCCCCCTTGTGTTGTCTATTTTCATCTACTTTTGGGGGTGATTTTCTTAGCCTTATCTTCTAACCACTCAGGTGGAGTTCTTCATAGTGGCTATCTCGTTTTTAATGTCCGAGAGCTTGTTTTTGGTCTGTGAATGTCCCATCTTTTATAGCAGCCCGTCCCTTGAGTTCAACATCCCATCTGACCCCAGTGAAGATATTGGTGGAGCGTTTTGAAGTTCTCTTCTCTGGCGTGGTTTCTGTTTCTTCCAAGTTCCCTGCGTTCATTTCTTTGGGTCCTGTCTTCCATATTAGAAACTGCACCCAAACGTCAGGCGAGGCTTGCCTCTGTCCTCCTGGCTGTCTACAGGAACAGAAGCCTGACCATTTGGTGGGGCTGGCTGGCACCAAGCTCAGCACAGGGTGATTGAGGCAGGCCACATGGTGGGGATCCCCTGAGTCAGTATTTAGAGCCTTTCTCCCTCACTGGCCAGATTCCTTATCTAAAGTCTTCTGGTCTCTTCCTGGATGATAAAGTCACACAGCAGCCTGGGGGGGACAGGGCAGTTCTAAGGATTGGACACCTATACGGACCTTCACCCTCCTATTTGGGATACAGGCCTCAATCACCCATCAATCTCCTGTCCCAAGACCTTCTGCTTGTCCCTGTCCTGAGATGGAACCACTTGCCTTCTGCTGGGGTCAGAGTGGATAGTCCGCAGCCCCCTGGAGCAGAGGTCTTATTTTCGTCCCCCCTTCACCACTCCCTTTGCCCCCAGTTCCAGGGTACCCCATACTGCCTGCCACTGTGCCTTTTGGGTTTATGGTGCAGATAGGGGATCCCCAGCTTTCCTCACGCTATCTTAGGACTCAACCTTCTCCGTTCTGATAAGTCGGCTACCCTTCCTGTTCCTCTGCTTTCTGGCATCTAAAATGTTGGTGCTAATCTCCCTCCTGTTCTCTCGACCTTGAACGGGTTCTGTCTCTTAAGAAAGAAAAACAAGGGCGTGCACGGTGACGCGAGCGCGTGGGGTTTCCCGAGGCTGCGGGCAGGGCCCCTCCGTGTCCTTCCCGCTGGCTGGAGCCATCTCAGGGGTGGACGGAGGCGGCGGCGGGAGCGGGCGGCGAGCCGGAGCTGGGTGGGGAGTGCAGCAGCCAGCAGCAGCGGCCAAGGCGGTGTGGACACGTCAGGCCGGAGGAGGGCGCTGAGACAAATTTACATGTATTGAAGACCAGACCAGAAGTACTTCTGAATTAAGATCTGAATTCTTTGAGGTGGCGTTAAAGAGCACTAAGACCAGAAGATGAGTGAACTTGACCAATTACGGCAGGAGGCCGAACAGCTTAAAAACCAAACTAGAGATGCCAGAAAAGCATGTGCAGATGCAACTCTCTCTCAGATCACACACAACATTGACCCTGTGGGAAGAATTCAAATGCACACTAGGAGAACGCTGACGGGGCACTTGGCCAAGATCTATGCTATGCATTGGGGCACAGACTCCAGGCTTCTTGTCAGTGCCTCATAGGATGGTAAACTTATCATCTGGGATAGCTATACCACAAACAAGGTCCACGCCATCCCTCTATGCTCCTCCTGGGTCATGACTTGTGCATACGCCCCTTCTGGGAACTATGTGGCCTGTGGTGGCTTGGATAACATTTGTTCCATTTACAATCTGAAAACTCGTGAAGGGAATGTACGTGTGAGTCGTGAGCAGGCAGGATGTGAGCTGGCAGGACATATAGGTTACTTGTCCTGCTGCCGGTTCCTGGATGACAATCAGATTGTCACCAGCTCTGGAGACACTATATGTGCCCTGTGGGACATGGAGACCGGCCAGCAGACAACCACGTTCACTGGACACGCTGGAGATGTCATGAGCCTTTCTCTCGCTCCTGACACCAGACTGTTTGTCTCTGGTGCTTGTGATGCTTCAGCAAAGCTCTGGGATGTTCCAGAAGGGATGTGCTGACAAACTTTCACTGGCCACGAGCATTTGCCACCAGCTCAGATGATGCAACCTGCAGGCTGTTTGACCTCTGTGCAAACCAAGAGCTCATGACTCCCATGACAACATCATCTGTGGATCACCTCCGTCTCCTTCTCCAAGAGTGGACGCCTGCTCCTCGCTGGGTATGACGACTTCAACTGCAACGTGTGGGATGCACTCAAAGCTGACTGGGCGGGCAGGTGTGTTGGCTGGACATGACAACTGCTTCAGCTGCCTAGGGGTAACTGACGATGGCATGGCTATGGGGACAGGATCCTGGGACAGCTTCTTGAAGATCTGGAACTAACTCCAGGAGCATGTGGACGCCACACTACAGAGACTGGAAGACCATTCAACCCTTGATGCATTGCAGTGAGAGCATATCCTATCCAACTGTACTAATGTGGACACCCTACACCTCCCCTCAGAACTACAAAAGGACAAGATCTTTTTTCCTTCACTGATTGCTGAAACCAAGAGCACAATTCCCATTAAGAGGAGGATCTCTTTGCTGTAAACTAAACAAATTGTGCATTCCTTCCAGGGCCCTTCGTCTTTGTTTTATTTTTTGTCTTGAATTTTAAAAGGAAATACTATAATAAAAATATTAACCAGAAGGTAAAAAAAAAAAAAATAAAAAAGAAAGAAAGAAAAACAAAAACTCTCTTTGCTGTCATTTGGTAGGTTTTTGAAAGAAGCAGAATCAGAAGTGCCAGCTTAGTCCACTGTCTTAAGCCAGCAGTGGGGCAATGGGTTACTCAGGCTGGGGACCAAATATAGGGAATGAGGTCAGGGGTAAACCACTGAAAATTGTGTCCAGCAACTGGGTCATCAAGCATCTTGGGAGGTTGGGGCTGAGGGGTTCAGGGAGCCAAAGGTCTGGTGAAAATAAACTGATCCCAAAGAACACCACCAGAATCCCACCACCTATCATCTGAGCAGGGAACAGTAAAGCCAGAAGCAAAGCAGCAGTTGGGAAAGAGGAATTCCATTTTACAGATGGACAAACTGAGGCTCAGCATCTTTCCATTATGTAAATGCTATATTATTTCAACGCAGTGATGCCAAGAGGGTCAGAGACTGCTGATCCCCTAATCTAACTGGCCACTCACCTGTACCCCACTCCATGAAGCCAAGGCCTACCCGCTATGTTCACCATCCCCGTTCTGTCTGTGACCTTTCCTGACTCGCTGGCTTGATCCTTTGGCCTCTGAGAGTCTGAGACATCATCCCATTTCTGTATACACATACATCAAAACTCTAGTAAGCTGACCTAAAGTCTCTGGTCTGGGAAAAGCCACCCAGAATCACCATTTTTATTTCAAAACTGGTGACATGCATCAGGCAGGCCATAAACCCATCACCGCAAACTAGGCAGGTGGACAGACAATGCCATCGGAGTGGCTTTGTTTCAGGCCCAATCTATAGGCTAGAGGTTATTCAAAGTCTTTTCAGACAGTGCTGCAGGCCTGCCACTCTTGGTTCCAGAGGACTGACCTACAGCTGGCATTTGCTCCTGCTGAAGTAGGATCACCCTAAGTGCTATGCCTTTGCCAAACACTAAGCCCTGTTCTTACACAAGAGGGCAAGTGTGGAAGCTGAAATGTTCCACAGTGACTTTGGAAAGAGCATCGGGCACAATCAACCACAGGGGTGTCAGCCAACAAGCAAATACAGTCAGCTGCTCCGGCACAAGACGGGGCCGAACTGTAGAATGGAGGACATAAACACGCTTGATTGCCTGCTATGGATTAGGCTCAGGGGACTTTTCAGGGCTCCGCACAGCCCATTGAGGGGGAGGCTGTCATCTGCACACGATGAAACTGAGCTTCAGAGAGGCCCACTACTGTAAGTCACATAGCTGGCAAGGGGCAGAGCTGGGTTTCTAATCCAACTCTTACCTGACCAAAATCTAATTTTGAGGCAAAAAGACACCTGAGATAAATGGAAGCACCTCTGCTGACTGGACTTCAAAATGAGCATCACATATTTTGCTGTGTATAATGTACAATTTTTGCCCACATTTTTGAAGGAAAATAAGGATACATATTATACATGGGTAGTACTACAGTCCACATCTATATAAATGTTTTTATTTATTTATTTTTTTTTTGAGACAGAGTCTCACTATGTCATCCTTGGTAGAGTGCTGTGGAGTCACAGCTCACAGCAAACTCAAATTCTTGGGCTTAAGTGATTCTCTTGCCTCAGCCTCCTAAGTAGCTGGGACTACAGGCACCCACCACAACACCCGGCTGTTTGTTGTTGTTCTTGTTGTTGTCATTGTTATTTGGCAGGCCTGGGCCCGGTTCCAACCTGCCAGCCCAGGTGTATGTGGCTGGCACCCTGGCTGCTGAGCTATAGGCACTGAGCTAATATATGTTTTGAATTATTTTATTTATGCTTATGCATTAAAAGTACAACTCTTGCACCATAATATATTAAAAAGTAAATGCTAAAATCCCTTTATAACATAAAAAACCAAGTATCTAAAAATAAACAAAAGATTTGAATTAGAAAATTAAAACAGAAGATGTTTCTCCTAAAAGTTTGAGCCAAAAATGTAGCTGCACATAATACGTGGCAAAATATGGTATACCACCTCTCAAATAGAAGGCAATATGTATGATGCTGAGTTTTCAACTGGGGGCAGTTTCACTCCCCAGGGGACATTTGGCAATACCTACAGACATTTTTATTATCACAATTGGGGGAGGAGGTGTGCTACTAGCATCCAGTGGGTAGAGAGAGACCAGGGATGCTACTTAATACCCTACAGTGCTCAGGACAACCCCATACACAAAGAATTGGGTGGCCCCCAAAGTGTCCACAGAGCTGCAGTGAGAAATCTGATAGACTAAAACCATCATCCCAGGCCTTGAATCCAGAATCTACCACTTAGGGGCTGGGTAATCCTGGGAAATCCAGAGTATTTCAATACTCTGTGCCTCCGTTCCATTAAAGGATCTAAATATTAAGGATATCTGATCTGCAGAAGGACCATTACTGGAGCCCACTGGCCTAGGACCCTGGAATTAACCAGCCCTTAAATCTCAAATCTCCTACTCTCTCTTTTCCACTGTAAACCAGGAATGGTAACAGCTGCCCTGACTGCTAAGAGCTGATTTTGAGCCATGCAATGCTGTAGTTACTATTCTGTATTACCAAGAGAGAAAGGACATTGTGTAGCCCAAAAAAGGCTTATAACTTAGAATTTATGTTGCAGACAACACAAAACTGGAATCCAAGATAAACAGACCTTTGGGAATTTTTCAGGCCCCCCCCACCCCCTTCAATGCCTCCTAGGACAACCACTTTGGCTAGGCTAGGTGGGTCCTAAACTAGAACCTATGGGTCAAATCCAGTCTGCCATTTGTTTTTATACTTCCCATAAGCTAGGAATGGTTTAAACCTTTTTTTTTTTTTGGCAGTTTTTGGCCAGGACTGGGTTTGAAACTGCCACCTCTGGTATATGGGGCCAGTGCCCTACTCCTTTGAGCCACAGGCGCTGCCCTGGTTTAAACATTTTTTTAGATGAAAAAAAAAATCAAAAGAATACTGTTTTGTGATGCATGAAAATTATATGAAATTCAGATCACAGTCCATAATAATGTTGACTAGAACACAGCCAGGCCCGTTCCATTACATAGCTATGGTTGCTGGTGCAGGAAACAGAATAGGTAAGTGGCTATAACAAAGACCATGTAGCCACAAAGCCAAAAACATATTTACTTCCTGGATCTTTACAACAGTTTGCTAACCCTGAGCTAGGCAGAGGTTTTCAACCCTGACATGAGGAACTTTAAAAGATTCTGATGCCTGGGCCCCACCCTGGACTAAGTAATCAGTATCTACATTTTTTGGTCTGGTTTTTTTTGTTTGTTTGTTTGTTTTATTCAGAGTCTCACTTTGTCGCCCACAGCTCACAGCAACTTCGAACTCTTGGGCTTAAGCAATCCTCCTGCTTCAGCCTCCCAGGTAGCTGGGATACAGGCACCCACCACAGTGTCTGGCTAGATGTGGTCGTGCTTTTGCTCAGGCTAACGCAATCCCAGAGTGCTAGGATTAGTGTTTATATTTTTCAAAAGTATCCCTACTCAACCAGGAAATTCTAATGTGCAACAAGAATGAGAACCACTGATAAATCTATTAATACAACCAACATTTCAATGCCAGCAGCTGGCCTTGTTGAGCAGAATTCCCAGGGTAAGGAAGTCCCTCACAATGAGGATTGTGGAACTCACTCAAGATCAGATTCTGGCTGGGCATGACAGATCACGGCCATAATCCCAACACTTTGGGAGACTGAGACATGAAGATCACTTGAGCCCAAGAGTTTGAGGTTACCATGGCTATGATCACGCCAATGCACTCCAGCCTAGGTAACCAAGCAAGACCTTGCCTCTAAAATTAAAGCCCAAATTCTTCTGTTCCTATGCCCAACTGTATTTCAAGCCCTCCTTCTCCACTCTGATCCACATTAATTTCTCCATTCTCTGAACTTTTATCCAATTCGCATGCCAAGGAAAATGGTCATTAGTTGAGACTTCGCCTGTGGACTAGTGTCTAGCTTCTTAGATAGTCCAGGTCTTCAGGACAGGATCCCAAATGCCTCCTGATCCTGACAGGCTCTTTTGCAACTGAACTCTGGCTTTCCCATTATCAGTTAGTGCAAATGTGTGTGCTGACCCGGGCAGTACTTAAGACCAGCACCTCCTGAGTACAGTCACAATAACTCTAGAAAGGCTTATGATGATTAGCCCCACTGACAGATGAGAAAACTGGGGTGTCAAGGCTTGATATCACTTACTTAGGGTCACATAGCACAGCTGAGTTGTCTAACTCCAGCTTTTTAGCAATTGTAACTTTAAGCTAAGAAAGGAATGATGTAGTCACCCAATAATGTTTAGCCACATTGTTATAAATAGGGGAACCCCATGTCCTGGTCTTGCTGGGACAATTCAAAATTCTTGTGATTTTATTCTTTTTGGATTAAAGTGGTTTGTGAAATGTATTTATATTGGGCTTAAAGTATACAGGTAAAATGTTGCCAAGCACAGTGGTGCACGCCTGTAGTCACAGCAACACAGGAGGCTGAGACAGGAAGATAGCTCGAACCCAGGAGTTTGAGTTTGCAGTGTGCTATGTTTGTGCCTGTGAATAGCCACTGCGCTCCAGCAGCCTGGGCAACATAGAAATAAACATTAAAAAAAAAAAAAAGATATGTTAATCGCTTTGTGTAAATAGTTGAACAGATCCAAAAAATATATACCCTTTGCAGACCACATAGCCTGATTTGTACACACTCTGACTTGAGTGTTTATGCCAGAGGAGTTAGATTAGGGTCCCAACTGTGTAAGTAATGTAACCTCTGTACTCCACCTGCATGTACCAGAAAGACTGGGACCCAAAGCCCAGTCTCTTGCCCTTCTCTGGGCCCTTTGCTCAGACACAGCCAACGGCACTTCACAGAGGATTCCCTTAAAGCAGTGGTTCTCAATCTTCCTAATGCCGCAACCCTTTAATACAGTTCCTCATGTTGTGGTCACCCCCAACCATAAAATTATTTTCGTTGCTACTTCATAACTATAATTTTGCTACTGTTATGAATTGTAAA